TTATCGCTATGTGGATTTGGCACTCGTGGAAATATTACTTGAGTGAAGATCTCGCGATCATACTCACGTCCTGTACATGTTGGCGAGTCAATGTTATGATGCTGATTACCGAATATCGTCCGATGTAGCAAAGGTGAACCAAGTAACTTCTTTTCTTTTGCAGGTTTGTTGTTTTGTGACGATGTTGAGCTTGATGAAAACGACAATTTTGAAAAGATTGGCATTGGAGCGGAATTCTTTCGTTGTGCATCATATTTTGTATTTAGCTTATCTTTAAGATCTGTATTATATGTATGACTCTTTTTAATACCTCCACTGTTTCTTGATTCATCAGTGCGGTTACCATTTTTCTTGTTCAGTGGCAATGTCATTGTCATGGCCGACGAAGATGAAGTGGCATGTTTGGAAAATTGAAAGATACGCTCACTCGAAGTCTTGACAACATCAAATTTTCCCTTTTTTTTAAAACTTCCGGTGCGTTTCTCGTTCATCACAAAATCGGCAGATGAAGTGGAATGCTTTTTAGTTTTCTGTGTCAGAGGCAGAAATGGTTGGGTTTTGAGAAATTGTCGCGTTTTAACTGCAGACGATAACATGTGTTCATGTTGTTGATCTGCGCTACTATTGGATGTGTTCGAATTTTGACGCGCTGTTGTAGAGTTTGTAATTGGTTCATCCCCAGATATGAGTTCATAACCAAAATCCCTTAGCTTAAGTCCTTCCTTGGTACGTGTGCGTTTGATATCTTCATCATCTGGTTTAAAGCTAATTTCATAATCGGGAGTTTTTGGCAAACTTCTACTTTGCGTCTTTGACAATTTAATAAATTCTGGACGCATTTGTGCATTCCCACCATCTTGCTGTTTGTTATCCAAACGTCGTTGAGCATTGCGTTTACGTTCATCTTTCTTTTCTACACCCAATAATACTCGATTATTGTACATCTCTTGTGCTTCCTCTTCTTGTTTCTGTAGCATAAGATCTTTGAGCGTCACAAATCCCTGTACATTTTGGTGTGCATCCCATGAATTTGATGGATTAATTTTTGGCAAAGAATAATCTAATGTTTTCGATGTCTGAAAATCAAATTCCACTAAATTTGGATTTGAAGCATGTATGAAATTGTATGGTATCTTCTTAATTGATTTTGTGGGACTATCGAATTGATGGTCTTTTTTATTGTTAGCCATAATGGAAGGTGATAATCCGATTGACTGATTAAGTGTTGGTGTTGGTGCTGGTGCTGGTGATGATGGTGGTCCATATAATGTTATATTCGAATCGCTATTACTTGCCACTGAACTTGTTGAGATTGAATATTTTCTTTCAGGCATAGCAATTTCCGGTGTTGTGTTACAATTTAGAACAGTATTGAAAGGATGTAACGATGTATCATGGTAGCCTGGTGTGTTAGTACCAATTTGTATACCAAAACTACCACCAGGTACTTTCCGATAACTGCGGTATTGTTCGGTAGGCACTGGTATATCACTAGATGATTTCTTTTCAGAAGTCGAGGAACTCTTAAATGGTAGAGTTCCTTTGGTGAGTTTACGTAAAGATCCTAAATATCGTCTATCTTGCTTGACTGCGGGTGCAGTTGGTGTTGAAAATGACTTTGAACTAATTGAAGATGTTGTGTTATCTTTAGTTGCTTGTGGCGATGGCGTACATAGATTTTTTGAAATCACTGATTCACTTTCTTCTCCTGAACTGTCAGTTTCAGAAAATAAATCTTTTGTATTTGCTTCACTGTTTATTGAATCAATGCGGTTAATTGAGTTTGTTGTCACTTGGGATTGAAGAGTTGCTTGGCGTATAAAATCAATCCATTGATTTAGCGCATCCAATGATTCTGCAGCAAAGTAAAATGTTTTCGCTGAGTGGTACACTTTAAAGGCAAAAGGTTTTGAATGAACTTCCTGAAAACATAATAAGAAATTTAAAAAAAATTAATATACGCGTAAATCAGCATTGTTGTTATAAAATGTATTATCACATTTTATATCGATAATTAGGACTAGTAAAACCTAATAAGATATGCTGCGGTGTTTCTATTTTAATAGATACATAAAAGATTTTCTGATTGGTTCATATTTTCGTATAAAATCCTGTTTTCTTAAACACATTAAATCAAGTTTCTGTAACTTGTACATAAGAACTTCTCCCAATCTTATCAACTAAACATGTGGGGCCAATTCTAAACAGAACCTCATGTACTGTTACCAAACGTAAACTTTTAACAAGAGTGCATAGGTGCTGAACCGAAACTGCTTCGAATCAGAACATCTGGTTAGCAGGCTATTTAAACTGGACGAATGGTTCAGAAAAAAATATGTGTTAAGCTTGCGATCTAACGGATACGGTTAAGTTTGAGTGGCGTCCTTATAGCTAAAGTCCACTTGAGCTCCTGTAAAAACACATTGTGATACTACGGTTTAGTGTCGTTCATATGCACCATACAAGCAACGTTGACAGACATGAATCCCTCATTTAAATAAAAGTGAACTAACCTGACAAGTCTATACATTTTTTTATTTTGCTTGATGTATTCAAATATGATTGCTTACCTCAGAAAGCGGTTCGAGGAATAATCTATTGTACCAATTGATATTCTAGCAAAATTATCAATCATATCTTTTACAGAAATAACAGGTGACAGGTAAATTAATTTCTTTACAACACAGAACCTTAATGTTTGTCTATCAAAAAAACTTGCTAATATAGACGATCTTTTTTCCCTCCATTTGTCAAAGATGAACTCAATACGCAGTTCTATTGCACGGGTTACAAAAAGGGCAACCAATGTCCTAACAGAGCTCGTGTGCCGTTTTTTATATAATTTTGAAAGTCAACTACTTCTATTTGTTCATATGCGATTTTAATAATAATAATAGTATATAAAAGTATCACAAACCTTAGCCAAAGATACCGTAAAACCTGGCAAAAATATAACACAGCTGGCTTTGATCGCTTCTTTTAAACGGAAACCATAGAGTATTGTATCCAACATTACAAAGTAAAAGCGTGCCCAAAATGTTACACCTCTTCGATCTTTTGTGCGACGATACAAATGACCCTGTATGTCGCCGGTGCCTAATATTTTTAAATTGACGTTACGTCGTTTTAAGACTAAGCTGTGCTTCTTCTTCAATGTTAGTGTTCTGCTCTTAGTTGGCGTATGCAATTCATTTACTTCCAGAATCGCATCAACATTAACTGCTGGCTGTGTCATTTTCACATTGGAATGAAAAAAATCGTTTGATTTTAAATCATTAACTATATTGGAATTCGCCAAAGGTGGTGGTGTGAGCGGATTTGACATTAAACTGGCAGGTTTTGGTGGTGGTGGTGGCACAATGGGGGGTGTTAGATCTTTTTGTTTTCTAGGTCTAGGCGGCGGTACAGGTGGTGTTAATAACAAGAATTCTTTACGCGGTTCAATTGCTGGTGGAGTATCAGATTCTTCACCAGAATTATCATACGCTGGTGTACTATGACTCTTATCTAAACGTCCTCTTCTTGTTATTAATGGCATATTTACAGCTTCTGTCAGTGATGTAGAATTTGCATTAGATTTTTTATCTAAAATTTCTAATATATCTTCAGACTTTTCATTAAAATTGTGCAATTTATCAAGAGCATCGTCTTCCTCATCAACAAACAGTATCGGTTCAAATGTTTCTAAAAGTGTATTTTCCACATTGCATGTGTACTTCTCATCGACTGGATAGTCCTCGTATTTCATGTTTGCATCGAAACGAACTACTTTACTGATTCCCGGTTTTGAATCATCCTTTGTTTCTACTTTATGTTCAACCACCTCAGGTACTTGACGAAGTTTTTTCGTATCACTAAAAACACTACTAAATTTATTTGAGCTATTGCCCGCGATACCTATACATGTTGTGGGGCGCGGAGTTATTTCTAAACCAAAGCCAAATGATATGGATTTATCGCGTAAGCTGGGTGAAGCAGGATCACATACGGCACCAGTTTTTCGTTCATGCCACAATGGCGCATTATCACCACATTTTAGTCCTAAAAATTCATCACCACAAATTGTGTTTCGGCGCTGCAACATTGCTCTCGGCTTTGGATAATATAGACGTATTTCCTTTTCAGATGCTTTAGCATCGGTTGGTGTTGATATATCACTACAACTTGAGTCTGTGTCAGACACATGTTGTGCATTATTTTTCTCTTCAGCTTTTAAAGATATTGGCATATTGAATGCTGTACCATCAGGTACTGTTAGGAAACCGGCACGTGGACTTGGTAAGTTTTCGCCCCAGCGTGTACCAATTGCACGCTTTTTACTCGGTAACCTGTATGGTTGCATATAAATTTGACCGTAAATTTTTGTGTGCTTAGGTCGCTTTTTAAGCGTTATAAGCACGTCGGGTAATGATTCCTGTAATTGCATTAAAACTGTCTTATATTGCCAACCCACTACAGTTTGATAATTTATTTGCACAATTTCATCGCCATCTTCAATTTTGCCAGAATGATGAGCAGGTGAGTTATATTTTATGTCAGTAACTCGATGCACGCCATGGAAACTAGTGCTTGTTGGTTCTATATTAAAGCCTAATTCCGATTCACGTTTTTTGAGTGTTACCAAATTGAGTGCAGCAGGTTGGAGAAGCATTGGGTCGGTTATATCTTGTATAATATAATTAGCTAAACGCTCTAATTTTTCAGCTGTATTTCTGATTTGTTCGACTGGTTTTTCAACAAAGCGATCACGTTGTGCTATCGTCGCCATTTCCAGTCCCAAACGCAGCATATTTCGACATATTTCGGTAAATTGTTTTTGACCACGAAATGGTGCACGATTTAACCAAGCAATTAATGGTTTTATTGTGCCAATTGTGCGTGTAATATCGTTCAATATTTTTGTTTCTATCTTAGATGCATCATTATATGAGGTTTGTAATTGGCGATATAAACTTCTTGCAGCAGTTGCAACATGCAATGCCATAAATTGCAGATTTTCTTTATCGAGATTAAAATGCTGAAATTTTTTAATTTAATTTATTTTATATTTAAATAAATACTTTAAACATTTTGCTTACAAAATTCCGCAAATTCTCTACTGCCTCCAATACAATTTCTTGATGACCGATTAGAAACATTCCTAACTGTTCCAATTCATATGGGCGTATATTAAGCAATTGCTTGCCACCAACTTCATTATTGGTAAATGAATGAACATATTTGTACATGGAATCGTCCAGACCTGCAATAGTTCCTAAGTGATTCACAACGCAGTAGAATTGTATTATGTATACAAACCTTTTAACCAATCCGTTACTTGGTCTGGTGTCCATTCTGCTACATTTATGTAGGCCATTAATATGATAATTTAACTATTATTGCACTTGCATTTTATTATATAAACAGGTTTTTGTAAAAATAAAAAATTTTGCAAATTAAAGCCACTTTCTTAATTATTTGTTTCTCTTTAACTAATGACAGCACAGGGTTGTTAACTCGTTGACCCATTTCAAACACTAAAATATGTCAGATGTTTTATATTTTGACGCCTATATCATATATAATTCTATTTATATATATTCTATTATTTATTTATTTTAATGTAATCGGTGTTAATGTTTTGCAGTTAAGAACTTATAATAATAAACATATTATTAAACATATTTCGTTGCATAACTAAATACTTTTATTGATTATTTTATTTGAGAAATTTTTTTTTATTTTAAAAATGTTTTCTTATATTTTACTTAACAAAAACATTTGTATTTATGCTAAAGATCAGATAATCATTAAATTATTATTTATTATTGTTTTTAATTTTTCTCTTTTACTTTTATTTTTTTTTTTTCTTCTTTTTGAATTATGTACTAAATAGCTTATTTATAAACCACGTCCTTTTCTAATTCTATTCAATCCATTTATATTTCAGTGAAGTTTTTAAAATAAAAATTAATTATTATCTAGCAAAAATTCTCTAAAATGGGCACTACACAGTCATTTGCTATCCGTAAGAGGATATATTCGGTTAAAAAAAACGGAACTTTTTATAAATAATTATAAAAATAATTTAGGTAATCAGAAATCATCCTCCCAATCGGAATTCATTTCAAATATAGCTAATTCTATTTCCTCTATATCTAATTTGTTGTTGTTTATATATAATATATGCGAATTTGCTATAAAGCTAATTCATAAAGTAATTTATATATTATCAAATTCGTTATGTAAATATGTTATTTCTTCTTCTTTTTTAGTATAACAGTTTTGGGTGGACCAATGCTTCCGATGTGAGTAATTTAAAGATTTTATAATGTATTGGTCGTCTGTTATTATAAAAAAGATTATATAAATCTTTTAAAAAAATTATGATCTTAAAATTTGGCAACGCACAAGTTAATCCCTGAAACTTGTAGTCCATTTATTTTATTACAACCTGTCAGGAATGACAATAAGTAATATAGATTAATTTAAATTGTAATAATAGTTATTATGATCTGAAAAAGAAAGTCGCGTATAGACTATGTCCAAATATATATTCATATATACTTAAAATAGAAGTGTGTGACCTACATATTTAATTAAATACAATAAATAATTCTGAGACCACTGGTGTTGGGTTTTTGGCAATACAAGAAACAGCTGTATGGCCAGGCAAAAATTCAATTAATTATAACAATATAAAAATGCAGTTTACTATTGTTTGCAACCTCTCTACAAATATTTTACAAAAATCTTAAAAATATTTAATGAGAACTTAACTTAAAACGTTTATTAAAAAAATTTTAACAGTAGTTTATTTTCCCGTTCATTTAATTTAAGTTTTTTAATTCATTTTAGCTTGTTACCAATTTAATACTTATCTGGCACTATTTTCTATATACTCTTTAATTATATACGTAAATAATTTTGTTTTTTGTTTACATAATACCTATTATTACACCATTATTCTCTTCTAAATTCCATATACCGTTACTTATACACTTGCTGATATCTACATTATATTGCAATTAATAAACGGTCTGGCATCACCAATACCTTGAAAGCAATTATTGCATTTTATTTGCATGTGTTTGTATTACTTCTTTATCCCAACAGCAAATGTATACCCGTATAGTGTATAGTGGTTATTTAGTCGTGCAATAAACAATACAAGCAAAAACAATTTCTTTGGTATAGTGAGAACTTGGCAAAGTTTTTATTAATAGCTTTTATATACGTACATTAGATAAAAACTGTTAGTAATATCATACGCTATATGCAATATATAATTTACCGCTGGGTTAGTTTGCTGTTTAAAAATATATATATATATATTGTGCAAGTGTGCTTGATATAGTTTTTTGGTCACATTTTTTCTTCACTATTAAGGAGCTACACAAACAGTATACCGCGTGTGTTTAGTAATATTTTATGTGAAGATAACTAAAAAAATGTCATCCTCAGCATCCCAAACAAAACAAACGGTTAAATTTTACAATCCATCCTCATCGGCAAGCTCCGACAGGTAAACGTAGTTATAAAGAAGTGTTACACTACAGAGAAGAAGAAATCATTTTATCATTTCCCTTACATACTTTTGCTTGCTTGTTCTTTTGCGTCGTTCGTCGAAAAACTTAACCGAGACTTCATTAGAAACATTTCGCGAATTAAAATCGTTGTGTTATTTGAGTAAAAGTACAAAACACTGAAAGTGATAACTCAAAATTAAATACGTATACGCAGTGCCAAAATTTTAGAACGTTTCACAGATTGCGGACGGTTTTTGTTACAATTAAAATAATTGATCAATATTTATGTATATAAATTTATTTAAAGTGCAATAATAGAAATTAAATAAAATTTGTGCCATACCGGATCGAGAATTGTGACCTACATATATACGGCTTAAAATATAAAAAAAAAAATAATAAATTTTCAAAATTAATCGGAATGAGTAGCATCATTGTTGTGGCCAACGAAACAGCGAGTACACCAGGCAGAACCAGTAAAACTAAATTTGCAACAGCAGCTACACTAACAGCAACGAGTGCAACTTACAACGGCAATGGTCACATGTAATACTTAATATTCATAATTCCTCAGTTTACTCGTACATACAGACACTTCCATACATACATTCATTTACACAAACCACTCGTATCATCAAATTACTATTAATTGTACACGTAGTACCTTTGCGAATGCTTTAAAATTAATTTCATTAGTAATATTATTATTATTTAGCTATTAGCAATAATTAAATTTTTATTTTGATTTTTCTTTTTTTTTTGTGTTTTAACATTTTTTGTTTTACTGGTTATGGTGAAATCATGAGTTTTGTTTTCATGCCAAAACTTTTGTTTTAGGTTAAAAATTGCGTGTTGAATTTTTATACAATTTCCCCATTGTAGCGAATATTTTTATTTTTATTTTTGCATGAATTCTACAATTATATTATTAAGTAGATTTTTCTTCTATATAAATATTTGATTCATATACATATATATTAAAATTTCATATATAAATCAGACTATTAATAGACAACAAAAGAAAATCTGTGATGCATAAACTCCACGCTCGTGATGTGATGAGTGTGGGAAAAATGTGACTACTAAAATAAAATGTAAACAAAGTCCCATTAAAAGTTATATACAAAAACAAACAGTTTTTTGTAGCAAAAGATGCTCATTCGGCGTTTCTACTAGTAACTAGTAACTTGTTACTAGAGTGCAACCACTTCTTTCATAAAGGTTTGCATTTCACTAAAAAAGAGTTGCGGCGTCTAGACTATCAACTGCATATACATATGTGAGCGTATAAGCATGTGTATACACATATGCATGCGGCATATGTTGATTAAGTTTTTTTTATTTGCAAAGTGTTTGTTTATATTATAAATTATTATTAAAAAAATTAAATATATGGACAGTTGAAAAGTTTAGTTGATTGGTCATATTTAATCAACTAAACAATGTATTTTTAAAAGTTTTTTTTTTATAAACAAGAATTTCTTGCTTTTTTAAATATTTATTAATAATTAATAAAGAAATTTTTTGAATCGAAGTGAACTACAACAACAAAAATTATTTTTATATTATTTTAATTAATTGAATCTTTGGCTGACCATACAGTTGTTTCGAGTATTGCCAAATAATACCCATCATCAGTGGTCTTGGAAGTAATTCTTTTATTTAATTATTCGTAAATAATTTTTTTTGAGACTGCAAGTATCAAGAATAATTAATATAATATCAGTAATTGGTCAATAAAAAGTTAGGATAAAAAAATTATACCAATTGGAACATAAGGGCGGAACAGGTAAAAAGAAAGTGGTATAAAATTTATTATATGACAAGATGAGTGATAAAAGGATGTGTTTGAAATAAGAACAGCATCAAGAAAGTTTACGCTATATGAATAACACAACAAATAAGTTATAATTAATGACAATGGGTAACGCAATATATATTTCTTCAGGAAGATATGCAGGGCTTTAAAATATACATAAAATCAACTGAATAACTTATTAACAGAATTTAACGTAGCTCTTATTACAATGGATCATCTAAACGGTCACAAACACTATTGAGTAAAAGTGTTATTAGATATTAACTCGCATTTGATCAAGTAAAAAAAGAAGAAGAAAGTAAGGAGTTTGGTGATCGAATTCCATAACTTTTGTTTTAACTGATCGATTACTACGATGAACTAGATATTAATCTGATTCACGTTCTCGTTCAATGTAGAATATATATAGATGTGCTAAACAAAAGTAGAATGTATTTAGGAAAAAATGTTGACAATGCGACTTAAGTATGATGCAGGCAGGAATTTGTGATTCAATAAGTAAAAAAAAACACAAAGATCTAACAAATGTTTTAAACATTATTAATTATATACATTTGTTAGCTGCATCGTTTTAGCAAAGACTATAAATATCAGTAGTTGGTGAAATAGAGCTATACCAAAAGTACAAACCGGCAAAATTAAAATATATTAACAAAAAATTTATTTGATTATTCAGTAAGGGATAAGGGTTTTCACTGTTTCCATGTTACTCGTTTGACAAACTTTGCGGAAAAGTGGTTAGACATGCCGAGGTAAGACATGCCTGGCGTAAGAAGCGACTCAAATCCAGCAAGCACCACTTGGTACCGCGGCACTCGATCAAAAGTGAAAATTTGGTAGTACGGGAGTCAAGGCCCACAGCATCGGATGTTCTGACCAATGGAAGTTGATCCCTTTAATGGGAGTATCGTGATGGCTGTCGTTAGAACGCAAAGTTACGCGTGCAGAATAATTGTAGAGTTATATTTTTCAACCGAGTTCAAAGTAACCCAAAATACAGTAGAAATGTTAGATAGGTCTCACTTTCTCACAAGGATATAGCTTAAATAGGTACCGGTAGAATTCCAATTGGGGTGTTTATCGGCGTATTATACTGATTATGTGTGTTAAGAGCATTTTATTTTTATGTTCTCCTTATCGCTCTGTGCAAACCTTCCTTCGAGTGGTGTACTACTTTTACTTCATTAATTTTATTAATACAATTACCACTTGATATAAGTGGGTTTAAGATACATAATACTTTAAGTGTGTTAAAAGTAGTGTTTAAGGAATTCTCCAAATTAAAATGAATCAAATTATTTAAAATAAGATACTAAATATTTTTAAAAGTATAGAGGCTACTTGAACAGTTAACAGTTAAATAGTTAAAAATGGTTAAAATATTAAAAAGAAACGCTGAATGCCTTCAGGGTTTTTGTAATAGTTTTTATAAATCTAAAAGGGAGTTATAACTGTTTTGGTTAGGAGGGCATAGGTTAATATGGTCAAATTAATTACTATTCGTGGGGGAAGCATGTTGTATACTCAGGTCATTACAATGAGCTACCAAAAGAATTATTTACAAAACATTTTCATATTATAAAATAGGCAAAAAAGTTTAAATCAAAGTAGATATCTGAAAAACTATTTAAAAATTGAACGTTAATTATGAATATATATCGAACTATCAACAAAGCCTGAAAATTTGTTTAGAATGTGGTTAGAAATGCAGTGAGAGTTTTAATGAAGTAAAATCCTATATAGACATGTGGTACTTATAGGCTCGATGTGATATATGCTTCTGAATCTTCTCGTGACTGCAATGTTGTTTGTTAAAGAGGAGGACATTGGTAAACATAGAAGAAAGTGTGTTTATCTATGGCACAAGAGAGTGTATTTACCTATAGCTATAAATATACCACAACACCGATATCCCTATGATTGAGGTTTATGAGACAACCCTATTGATTTCAAAACAAAAAAATAATACAATTAGTGTTACACTTTACTGGTCTTTAATAAGGAAAAGTTGTAGCTGAGAAAGGTGATCTTATATATATTTAGTTATATGGACATTTTGTTAGTCAATCTATAACATCTATAAGAATCTATAAATACGATTATTATATTCGATGTTTAATACAATATTAGAGTATATTGCTCTAATGGTATGTATGTATGGTATGGAACTACGGGGCGAACGATCTGACATACTAACTTCTGGTCTAAAAATGTACTTCCAATTGAAATAATAATAATTAGAAGAGATAATAATAGATACTAATTGCGATAGTAGATAAATGCTGCAACCTAGGAGATACTAGTACAGATATGCACACACTTGAGTTAACAAAATTATTCCAAACAATTACTTAGAGAATATTAAATACGCATCCAAAATGTTTATTTTGAAATTGATATAATATTAAAACAACAAATTAAAAAAACTCATTTGTTTATTTGCTTTGTATATGAACGCAAAAACCCATAAAGTGATCCTTATTTTTATATTGATAAAGATAACACACAAGTGTTGTCTATAACCACATTCACTTTATTTTCAATAAAATTTTATATTTACAAACTATTACTAATGGCTACAATCAAAACAATTTCCATTAACACAGTCCCTAATTGTTTTTGTAGAATTTTACTAAATATTTTTAACACTGACTGGACATAAAACCTAGACGGAAAAACAATTTCAGATCTTAATTGGTTTATGGGTCTCGCAGGAGTTCTGGAACTTTACCCCAAACTTAGTCTGCTACTATTTTTAGCGCTTTGCGTCCATTAAACCGTACGTGCTGAGTAGGATAACATAGTGTCAAGAACGACATCCAACATTTTTGGTTTGGCGAGAGAAACTTCTAGTTTTTCTGTATATGTTACCTTTACAGCGGCGTATCCACAGAGGCATATTTTCCTCGTTTTCTTAATTTTTTATTAAATGGTTTATATAGATGCTATATAATCTATTCATAGAAATGTACCTAAAGATTTTTATTATGTACATAAGTCTACATAAATCTACATAAGTCAGTACTGGAAGAATTATTAATTAATATACCAAGAATTAGTGTCTAGACTTAAGAGATTTTGATGAAAAAAGTTAGGTTAGTTGAAAAAAGTGATCCTAAAGATCTATTAATGTCTAAAGTTCTATATTATGTTTAGGAGTTAATAAAGTTAGAAGCTAATAAAATATTTTCTCTTTTATGTGAAAGTTTGATGTCTCTTCCTTTCTCCCATTCTTATCTATACACTAATATGATACAACTATCAATTAAATCATTTTGTATGTCATACAAAGACTATATTTTAATACAGAGACATATTTTAATTTATTTAAACTCTATTTTACTAGATCATGTACAATATTTGTCTTTTCTTATGATTATTATTATTTGTAATGTAAACATGATATTTAATCAATTTATTATATGCATATATATTTTTTGTAATTATGGAATGAGAATACTTTGGTAGTGCATGAAAGTTAAATATATATAATTGTATATAATACAATTATATATAAATGTATATAATTTTATTTCAGACATTTTTTTCCTTTAATATGTGTTTAATTGTGTTTCGATTTAAGCACTTCAATAAAATATATTAATTATTTTTTATATTTTTATAGTGATGACCGATCTGATGTAACTGAGCAATTATATGTTGATCCAAATATACATTCTGAGTATACCAATGGGGATTATATGTGCTGTCCAGCATCACCAACAACAGTGCCAGCTAGAAGTATAGCAGCAGAACAAACAGTACGTATTAGGCCTAAACGTCAGCGTACTACGTCTATAAATAATCAAACGACAACAGCAAATCCATCCGAATGTATTATCCGTGCCAATAATCGCACTATTTATACTGCTGGTCGGCCGCCTTGGTACAACTGTGCCGGCCAGCAGGTGGAACCATTTGTCATTGGTAAAGAACTGTTGATTATTTTATTTTTTGTTATAAATAATTTTTAAATTTATAGGTATATGTGGTGGTAGTGCTTCTGGAAAGACTACAGTAGCGCAAAAGATTATCGAAAGCTTAGATGTTCCTTGGGTAACGTTATTATCCATGGACTGTTTTTATAAGGTAAACAAATTTGTTGTAAAATAATTTTATAAATTAAATTTATAATATAAATAGTAATGAATATATCAACACATTCAATAACTTTTTTAGGTTTTAAATCATAAACAGCATGAACTAGCTTTAGAGAATGAATACAACTTTGATCATCCTGATGCGTTTGATATTGATTTGCTGATCACAGTACTGAAAAAATTAAAAGAAGGACGTAAAGTGGAGGTACCAGTTTACAATTTTGTTACACATGGTAGAGAGTCGCAAACGGTAAAATGTTAACTTAAGTTATAAGAATACAACAACTATTTTAGTATTTTTATTTTAAAAACAGAAAACTATGTACGGTGCTAATGTTATTATATTTGAGGGTATACTTACTTTTCATAGTCAGGAAATATTAGATTTACTGGATATGAAAATATTTGTGGATACAGATGCTGATATTCGGCTAGCTAGACGTTTAAAGAGGTAAATTTAAACTCCTTTACAAGCAATTTTTAAGTAAAAGTCAATTATTTATTACGTTGTCTCCATTAATGTTGTTGTAGTTGTTTAATTAAAGAGTTATCTTCAATTATTTTTTTTTATAGAGATATATCACAACGAGGACGTGATTTGAAAGGCGTTCTCAAACAGTATTTGACCATGGTAAAACCATCATATGCAAACTATATAGCACCAACCATGGTACATGCCGATATCATAGTTCCTCGTGGTGGTGAAAATAAAGTAGCAATATGTCTTATAGTGCAACACGTTCACACACAACTGCAGTTGGTAAATTCAAAAATTAAAAATACTTAACAATTCCTTAAACTATGTTTCCACCGTTTCATTAGCGTGGTTTTAAACTTAGAGAGACTTTAGCAAATTCCTATAAAGATCAACCAATGCCTAATTCATTGCATTTGATAAGCCCAACACCACAAATTAAGGGCTTACATACATTTATACGTTGCAAAAACACATCAAGGGATGAGTTTATATTTTATTCGAAAAGACTAATACGCTTAGTCATAGAATACACACTAAGTCTATTTCCTTTTAAGACCACAATTGTGGAAACTCCGCAGGGAGTATCATATGCTGGTAAAAATAAGCAATTGTAAAAGTAAACGTATTTAGTCTTTAAATAATAAATATTTTGTTGTTCAGGTCAACGGATGTCCTCAAAAAAAATTTGTGGTGTCTCAATTTTGCGTGCCGGTGAAACCATGGAACAAGCTATATGCGATGTATGTAAAGACATACGTATTGGCAAAATTTTAATACAAACAAATCAAGTCACTGGCGAACCAGAATTGTATTATCTGCGCTTACCTAAAGATATCAAAGACTATAAAGTAATACTAATGGATGCTACTGTAGCGACTGGTGCGGCTGCTATGATGGCTATAAGAGTATTGCTAGATCATGATGTTCCCGAAGAAAATATTATCCTCGCTTCTCTTTTAATGGCCGAAATAGGAGTACATTCAATTGCATACGCTTTTCCACAGGTGACTTTTAGATAAATACAGACATTTAAATTAAATATATATAAAATACATTTAAAATATATTTCATAGGTAAAAATTGTAACTTCGGCTTTGGATCCGGAGATAAATGACAAATTTTATGTGATACCTGGTATTGGCAATTTCGGAGATCGGTATTTCGGTACTGAACCTTCTGAGGATTATTTTTAATTTAATGAATGTGAAATTATTTAATAAATGTTTTAGTGTAATTAAGTTAAATATACCAACGACTATGTGAGTTTATGCCTATTATTTTAAAATATATCATTTATACAGAATTTCAACTTAACGATAATTTTTAATTTCATTTTTACAAATACTACACACAATGCGCTTACGTCTATGTCCATAGTTCTCACTACGTTCAGAGGCCGGACTATGGTTTCTGTTTATTGCAGTTTTTTTTGTTGATTCACAGCAACAAGAAAAAAACTTTAATGGAATTTTTTCACCATCTTCTATTGTCTGCGGTAGATTTTTGTCTCTTGTTTCCGGTAAAAGTAAACTAGCAAAACCTCCAATAATTAACAAAGTGCCCATGACAATTAATGGTAAAACGAGCATATGTTGTCCCTGTAAATAAAGTAATTATTTAAAAAAAGAAAAAAAGAAATAGTTTTAGCTATATTTCAAATTACATACCATATGATTTATAATTGGTATTACAATAGGTCCGATCATGGCAATCACAGAACTAAAACTCATACCCAGACCTCGTACGACAGTCGGATATAACTCTGAAGCTAACAATGGCAGCACTACGAAAGCGGATGAAATGCCCATTTTCCCAATGCAGTACAAGAGTAACATAATCTCAGGTTTTTGCGCATAGAGAAATGTTGCTACACATGCAATGCCACCACATAACATGGATACACAAAGGATCCAACGACGCCCGATATAGCTTAGACCAGGCCAAAGTAAAAGATATGTTGGCAATTCTACTGCACCGGCAAGAAAAAAATTCCAAATCTCATTACCACCCAAAGCTGGTGCGTAATAACTTAGTCCAACATAAACACTTGTGTTAGCAAACCAAATAAGTGTTATAATAAGAGTTTTACGACGCATATTAGTGCTACGAAACAGATCGAGTATACCATAAGATTTATCAAGTTCATTAATTGATTCCACTTTTGGTGTTAATAGCTTTTGCTGTACGATGCTGACGAAATTTACGGGTATCTGATAACCATTCACACGTGCTATTGTTTTGAGAATTTTGGCTGCTCTCAAGGGCTGACCGACGGCTATAAGCCAACGTGGTGATTCTGGTAAAACAAAAAAGCATGAGAATAGCAATAGTAAAGGCAGTGAAACAGCTAATGTTAAGAATCGCCAATCGCGTATTATATACACAATGCCTGCTAATAATACAAGTCCACATGAGTAAGCTATATTCGATACAATTGTACAGAACACACGTCTTTCCGGTCCAACCAATTCAATTGCTAAATAAAATATACAAATAATTTGAATTACATTTATTTCAACTGTAATAATTGAACGTTTATATACCTAATACATATGGCGATGCTAGTATTGCTGGTACAGTCCAACCAACTACAAAACGCATTCCCAACCATGAATAATAGTTCCAAGCGAAAGCACTAGCCGCACAAGCTGTAATCTCAAGTATTAAATATAAATAGAATGAAGGTCGCCGACCCCAGAAATCTTGCAAATAACCGAAAACATAATTCCCGAGTAAGCCACCAATGCCAAAAACGACTAAAGCCAATGTAACCAAATAACTTTTGTCACAGACTAGGTTCCACTGAAATTTTAATTAAATGATACAAAGAGTAAAATAAAGTTATATACATTATTTTATATAAATTAATTGATATATTTATTATAAAATAAAATTATATAATATACAGTTTTTGTATATTATTTAATAAAATTATTTATTAAAATGTTCTAATAGAAACTAATAAGTTTTCAGAAGAAAGTGTCTATGATGTTAACAAGGAATAAGTACCTCAGAAATCTAACAAGAAAAAAAGGGTATTGCGAAAGAAAAAAAAAGCATTGGAATATATATTTCATTTAGCATAAGTAGAAAGCTTACTCTGTCAATATTTAGTTTATTTAGAATTTCAATTAATTATTAATAATAGTAAATATAATAATATCGATAAGATCTAAGATCTATATAAATATCTTGATATTCTGTTATTGTTTCAGATTCTTTGTTCGCAGTAACTTGGATGCTCTATGCTTGATTGGATATGCTCGAATATCAGTTAGAGCCTCCATCCACAGTTGGACACCCTCTCTTAAATTGGATACTTTATACTCAGTTGTATACTCTGTCTTCAGTTGGCAACTCTATCCTCTATTAGAAACTCTATTCTCAGTTCGATACTCTATCGATAATTGGATACTTTGTCCTCAATCGGATGTTCTGTGTTATATTGAATACTCTGTCTTAAGTTGGATACTCTATCTTAGATTGAATACTTTGTCCTCAATTGCATACCCTGCCCTAAGTTGGATATTCGGCTCTAGTATAAAAACTCTCTCTACAGTTAAATATTTTCTCTTTGGTTTGGTACTCTGTCTTCAGTTGATTCCCTGTACTACTTTAAATACTGTGTCCTTAGTTGACTACTCTATCCTCAGGTAGATACTATGGTTTATGTTGAATACTCTGTCTTATATTAAATACTCTGTATTCGGTTAGATACTCTGCGCTCAGTTGTATACTTTATCCTCGGTTGGATAATCTATGTTCAGTTAAATACTCTATTCTCATATGGATATTCTGTGTTACGTTGGATACTCTGTCCTCAGTTGGATACTATGTCCTTAACTCAATACTCTTTCCTCAGTTGGATATTTAGTTCTTAGTTGGATATTCAGTTCTCAGTTGGAATTTCTGTTCCCACTAGAAACAACTGTAAACATATCTGTTAAGTACAGCATTACATTATTGATCCAGGCACATTATTGATAGCACAGTATCTCTTAATCATTACAGTGTGAGAGGTATATGACAGATGGCTCCAAAAAAAAAAGCATGACTGGAAGGACTAATTTTAAATAACTTTTTAAGGACTTTGTCCTTTTAACAACTTTTCGTTATCTGAATGGAAATGCAGATTGTGCTATATTTTAAGATCTTGCAGTTGTGAAAGTATATGAACTATGAGAAAAAATTACTTTAAGTATTAAATAGCAATTATTTAAAAACATTTTATTTAGGGAATATATAAATGTATTTGATCACCTGAACGCATTATAATTATGAATTTTTTAATACAATTTTTAATTTTTTTAAACTATTTTTATTCTTATTAAACTAAAAATTGCATGTATACATTTAAATTAAGAGTGCAAAAACTATAATTAGAAATAAGAACAAGAGTAATTAGTAGCACTGATTTTAATTAACTGAAAAAAGCTGTGGATGTAATTACTTATGACTGATTTATTTGGATAAAAAAAGTATACTTTTTTTTAGATCTATTTCTAACAACAGTGCATTCTTCTGATGTATTTGATATTTATATGAACGATATATGATATAGTGAACCAATTTCATTTACTTGTCAACTTCATTCACATTATTTAATAAAAATCCTATGAATTTGCAGTTTTATTCTTTATTTATTTCGAGTTCACTATTGTACTTAATGAACTAGATAAAAAAACAAATAACCTGTTAAATCGATTGTGGTGGTGGCCAAAAATATATATGGTTATAAAACATTTTCGTTATTGCTTCATAATTAACTTACTAAACTCTTGTAACGGTTATAAATATATACCCTACATATATAGGATGCATTCGAAAGTAGATACAATTTTTTAAAAATAGATATTTGTAGGGATGACATCTATTGACAATTCCTCGTG